TGTCTATGCATCCACTAGTGTTGTTATTCTCGAAAATCCGTATAATTTAATCTATGACGTCATGACGTCAAAACGACGCAATGTGCGTTAGTTGTATCAGTTTTATTTAGTGGTATGGACCTCTAAAAGATTGTTAAAAGTGATTTGAAAACTAAAAATTATTTCGTTAATTCGGTACGAGTAGTTGAATATCATTATATAAACAGGGATTCAGGCCCTACAAATCTGTATGGTTGAATCCATGACGTCATAGCGTCAAAACGGCGCAAGGTGCGTTAGTTTTATCAGTTTTATTTGATGGTATGGACCTCTAAAAGATTGTTTAAAATGATTTGAAAACTTAAAATTATTTCGTTAATTAGCTACGAGTAGTTGAATACATGTATCATCATATAAACAGGGATTCTGGCCCTACGAATCTGTATGGTTGAATCCATGACGTCCACGAATTCGGCATCCACGAATCCAGCGTCAAAACTACAAAATGTGTGTTAGTTTTATTAGTTGAATCTTATAGTTTGAACCTTTCAAAGATTTGTAAAAGATTTTCCGTTATTAAAAATTATTTCGATACTTTGCAAGAAGGCGTCGGATTGAAACATGTTGGGTGCGCTTCTCGACGGCATTCTTGAATCTTTGACGTGAAGATAAATCCATGTGCGTTGATTTAATTAATTTAATTCGATAGTATTAACCACTTAAAGATTATAAAGACTCATTTGGTTGTTGAAAATTAGACGATTATTTAATCAAATGAATACAGAGTCTGAAAGGTTGTGGTTTGGTTTGACATACGTACGTGGAATGTCTATTTACATACTGTATGCGTGCTCATTTGCATATGTGGGACAGTAGAATGCTTCCGCGCCTGAGACGTATCCGAAATAGTACCTACCATTCGAATCGAAGGCTCAATCGAAGGTTGCGAATCGAAGGCCGAAAGGAGGGCTAACTTTAATGTGGTATATAAGGACTTGTGCTGTTTTCGTTTGGAAGGCATTGATGAAAAAACGGGAAAATGTGGTAGATCAATAAAATGTCTTGGTCCTCAAATTCACCATCTTTTGTATGATTTGCAAAGATACAAAAATGTATCAGTTTCGCTGTTGAAACTGTGAAGAAAGTTCCTTATTTCTTAGCTGTTAATTTCTCTATTAATCAATGAATTGATTTGATTTTGTTCACATTGCTAAGCGACATCTTGCACTCGCAGTCGTCCCTCAGTAAGACATCTGGAGCCGCATAGTTCTCGTTTAAAACTATTATTCAGCCTGTCACGCATACCAGAAATTTTACTGTCAGGCCACACCAATTTCATTTGTTGCTTCACGGATTCGCCCGCGTGAGTTGCAAATAAAAACATTTCAGCCTCTGGATCAACTCCAAAATCCTCAACTTTTGACACAAGCAGTTGAAGGGCGTCCCTTCTCTTCAGAGCTGTTCACTCTCCCGCAGGCGTTTGATGAAGAGTTTAAAATTCATTGCTTGAATTATAAAACAGTCTGGTATGTTGGCTTCATGGCTCCAATCATAGCATTTGGCGCTATGATAGGATTGAATAGGTCTTTTTTTCTGATAAAATCTGAGAACCAACAAGTGAAATTGGTGTGGTCTTCCTAAAAAAAACACAAGTAACAAGCGACGAAGGTAATAAGAATATTTAAGTTTAACACTAACTTAGTTACTTCCATTTCAATTTCTGTATACAAATAAGGTCCTCATAATTCATATTCATCGATGATATTCTCTAATCAAATTACATAATAACATGTCCCAAGTGTGAAAGCCCTATCCTTGCAAAAAAGGCTGAAACAACATTTTCTTTCATCGAGCATTTATAAATAGGCCTACTTTGCATAATCTATGTCTAGTCTTTCCACCTTTATTCCATAAGTATGAAATTCCCATCATTTACTATTATGACATCATGATCATACCTTCAAATTAGTCGAAAGAATACAAAATTTTCTCATCACTTATGAAAATCAGATCCTGATTGCATAGTTATCAACTTTGTCCACTTTCAATTAGTAACCTTATGCCAAAAATCATAAAAATCCAATCTCATTCGTGATATTTACATACTTGTTCCACTTTAGTCTTGGAGACTTAATCTCAGAAATTTGGTGGACGCTGTTTGAAATGTCTGACTCTGTTAGAGACCTAAAAATAAATCTTTACCAGCACATCATATCTTAGTCATAAGAAGGCCATTGGTTTCACAATTTAGTTACATCTTCTGGTGTGTACAACTGATAATGAAACTTCATCTGCATAGTAAAGCTTTGTTTATGAAACAAAGTTTATTGCTACTAAAAACAGCTTCATATCACTGTGCAGCATGTTGACTTTTGTCGCGGGGGTGTTGGCGGATCCAACGGGTCACGTGTGCTTGGTGGTTGTAGCTCCTGTTTGTGGGGGGGGGGTAAAAGGTTTGTTTCAAGTTAAAACTTTTCATCCAACACAATGAATTTTTCCTACCTAGAGCTTTCGACCAGTCCTCTTCAGTAGACTGACCCAGTGGGGCTTGTCACATGGCTTGTCTGAAGTGACGTTAACACTGGCTTCAAGGCCACAAGATAAGCCTCACTGGGTCAGTCTGAAAGCGCTAGGTAAGAACAATCATTTGTGTTGGATCAAGCGTTTTAACTTCCAGAATGTAACTATACGAATACAACTAAACTTTCATGGCACATTGGAGCCAGATTTATTTCACGGTAGTCGATGTACATAAGATACCAATTAAATTGCAAAGGGATCGAGGAAAAATTTGCTTTCACATGAAGACATGAAGCGGTTTGCCCCAAATAGCTTCCGCTTACAAGTTGTGTGAGGCTGAAATTACACATCAGGGCTCGAAATTCATTTTTCGAAATAGGTGCATTGGTGCACCAAACCTAAAAAAATTAGGTGCACAAAGATTACTTGGGTGCACCGTATAAACTAAAATAAGTAGAATGACAGCAAAAACTAATCATGTTTCATTTCCAAGCAAAATCCTAAAAAGTTTGTAACCGGAAGTGGGTTGGGGTAGGACATACCTCATTGGATTCCTACCAATATGTAGGTAGAAGGACAGTCCAAGAAGAGACAGCCACAGGACACGTCGCAATATTTTATTTGGAATTTGAATTTTACTTGAAAGAAACAACTGCATAGCCTTATCTTGAAAGTTCATCTGTGTTGGTAGAAGTCATTATGAGCAATATCTAACTGCAATTTCAAAACAAAATTGACTCACCCAAATTTTCTACTGTACAACTTTTTTTTTATTATTTATTAAGATTCAACTCAAAACAAAGCTCGTGAGAGCCACTTACATGTTTTGGGTTACAGTGATGACTGCGTGGTCAGATATTTGTTCACCCTTGATTTAAACCGTTGGAGGTTGTGATTAGCTCAAGGAATGAGCAATCCACCGCTTTCGTGACGTCACGCAGATAACCAAATACAGAGGTTCCTCCTAAGTTCTACGGCGTTACTAAAGTACACAAAACTGGTATTCCACTGAGGCCGATAGTGAGCAGTATTGTGAGTGAGCTCAATCACCTACCCGTGTGCCAAGTTTTTGGTAGATACATTGTCCTCTCTAGTTGGTGATACAGTGCACCACATTAAAAACTCACAACTGTTTGTAGAAAGGATAAAACATGAGCGGGTAGAGGAAGACGAGGAACTAGAGCTACGTCTATACGATGTCACAGCTCTGTTCTGTTCAGTGCCAGTAGACAAGGCAGCTGATGCAATTGTACAAAGGCTGAAGCAAGACAACACTTTACCTCAACGTTCCAAACTAACCCCAGAACAGTTGGTTGACTTGTTGAAGGTGTGTCCAAACTGTACTTAGTTTATATATGATGGTATTTTCTACAAGCAAATCTATGGAGCTGCCATGGGGTCACCTGTGTCCCCCAGTGTATGTAATCTGTATTTAGAGCAATAGAACAACGTGCTATTAAACCTACCCCCCCCCCCCCCCATATGGTGGTACAGAAACATGTACGTGGATGACACTTTTACCAAGCATATTAATAAGAAGGCGTACGCACAAGAGTTTACAGAACATCTAAATGACCTTCTGGGTGACCCGGTGGGTTGCTCATTCCTTGACAAAGACTGGAGTTGTACAGTCGAAACGTTGGGTAAGTCCTTTCTGTGTTGAAATTACGGTTAAATCTTACTCATAAGAATTGCATAGATTTTGACTTGCAGTGTTCGAAATACCTGTTTGCAGTCTGCAATCTGCAGATAGATTTTCAAGATTGCAGAAGAAAAATTTATACAATCTGCAATTTTGCAGAAGGAAAAATAGGCTCCAGATTCAAGCAAACTATAACTCTCTGGCCCCAAGGACAGACAACACTTAAGCTCCTGTTTTGAAGCAACAGGAGCTTCTTCACTAATTTGCATCATCCTTGTCTTGACTTGTCTATCTTTTGTTTAGCCCTTTGGACTTCCAAAAATTTGTCTTCACTAATTTGCATATGAATCAATAGTTCGTGCTTATAAACCTGCAATTCTCTTAGTGTCACTGACGAAAGGTAGTTAGTCTGACCGTTTCAGGTAGCACCAAAATCATATCGAGTTGCTTAAGAGTTAAGTACTGTTTTTTTGTTTGTCTTTTATTTATTAGTATGTTGTGTGGAAGGATGATATGTGGGTGTGATTACTAGTACATTTACAGGTAAGGTACATGTATGATTTTAGTTGTAGTAGCTTGTAGTGGGAGACAGCGGTGAAAGACCCGTGAAGATACCAGTAAATGATAAATTTTCTGTGGAAATTTTCTATAAAGTCTGAAATTAAAAAGAGTGATAGATTAAACTTAAAATAATTCCAGTAATGCTACAGATTTACAAAGCCATATATGATGTAACAAAGACATTAATGGTTTGAGAAGGTTGTAGTATGGGGGCTTGGGTATTTTCAAATTGCAGAACAAAATTTTGACTCTTCTGCAATATTGCAGAGCACTGAAAAAAAGTATTTCGACCACTGACTTGCCTTTTCCGACTGAAGTCCACTTGCTGCTCCCTGTTGCTGTGAGTCTGTGTAGTAAGGGGAAAGAGAGGGGTTAATGTTTACTTATCCCTCTAGCTACTTCATACAATGGTTCACCCGGAACATGCAATTCCAGCACGTTTCACACATAATCTGATCTAATATGACCACTCACTCAAATTCACTGACATAATATGGTTTAAATGATATTCCTGAATGATGATCTAGTACCTCAACCGACCGCTTCCTGGTCCAATATTTCAGTGTACATGGGTTAAGAATGACCCTTTCTAACACTATGGATACAATGTCTATGCAATCACAGATAGGGAAAATGCTGCAACGCTGGTTTTACCGGTTTTTACGCGCGCCATGCGCACCACAGAACAGGGTCCGCCATCTTGTTTATGTCAAGCTGCCGAAACGCAAGGTTATTGCAAATGTTGTTGCAAATGTTTGCTACATCTTTAGTCACACAGAGGCTTAGCCCAAAACAAATGACATCCAACTAACCTTCTGACATCTCAACAACTTCATCTTTCACATCATCCAACTTCTCTTTAGGAGCACCGTGGTCCTGGGATCTTTCGAGTTGATCCGAACTTTCTGTAAAAATGAAACAAGAAAATAAATCATTTCCTTATTGCCAGAATCCAGAATGTTTTTATGGTCAAATCGCTGGTCTGTAAATAAGGTCTGTCAATAACGTTGATATGAACATTATGCAAAGTATAAAAAAAACAATCGACTAAAATGGCTAATATGAAAAGCATTAGAGCTTACTATGTACGGCTCATTAGAGACAACCTTCTTCCAACTAAGACCACATCCTGTTTACCCCTTATGAAAGCGTCCTCACAATACCTAATGCTGTAACGTGTTTGCTAAATTAAATTAACATTTAACATCATTGTGGCGTGCTTGATTCTCCTGAAAACTCTTGTTCAAATATGAATGAGCAGTAAAATGCTGTTCCTATCTTTGGGTTCTGGCTTGGCATGATGTTTTACATGAAGTTGTGTATCACAGTGCCTGTTCTTTGTCAGAATGAAAAAGAGGTACCCAAGTTTTGATATGTGAGAAATAACTGTTTTGGCTTAACAGCCGAAAGAAATACACGACAGGAGGATGTGTAAGGATGTGTAACAATGTGTAAGGGTGGGTAAGGATGTGTAAGGATAGGCAGGGATGTATATGGGTGGGTATGTAAACGTAAGGATGTGTAAGGGTGGGTAAGAATGGGTAAGGGTGGGTAAGGATGTATAAGGGTGTGTAAGGGTGGGTAAGGATGTGTAAGGATGGGTAAGAATGGGTAAGGGTGGGTAAGGATGTGTTAGGATAGGCAGGGATGTATAAGGGTGGGTAAGGATGTATAAGGGTGGGTAAGGATGTGTAAGGATAGGCAAGAATGTATAAGGATGAGCAAGGATGGGCAAGGATGGGCAAGGATGGACAAGGATGTGTAAGGAAGCGTATGGATGTATAAGGATTGGTAAGGCCGTCTGTGTGTGTGTGTGTGTGTGTGTGTGTGTGTATGTTTTCACGGGCGTTGCTAACTCGCATATATGATGTACTCATTTGCATACTCGGGATTACCTGTCGTGATGCCGCAGGCCTGCAGGAAGGCATTGTGGGAGTCCTCCCAATACCTTGAATTTTCCAGTTCCCGCTTGAACCTGGCGGCTTTCTCGAACTCCGAGTCGCTGTGCTCGAGGATGTCCACGATTCGGTCAGCCCACCTCTTTATGTCTGCGGTACGATAGCGGTCGTTCACGCTGGTCTTCACGATGACATGTCTGTGCTCTGGGCTGAGTTTCCCCTGATCAATCAGGTCGGTGATCATCTCTGCCAGGCCGGTTTGGTTGGAGATGAGAACGGGGATGCCGGCGGCAATGGCCTCCAGGCCGACTAGCCCGAACGGCTCGGAGCGGGACGGCATCAGGACCAGGTGGGCTGTCATCATGTCGTCCCTGATGTCATCCTGGGTCCCGTACGACCGCAGGGTGGGGTTCAGGTCGGGACTGTTCAGGGCGTCTTCCAGGATCTTCTGGCTTGTCTCAAAGTCATCCTCACTGATGCCGCGGACCCACCACCGCATGTTTGCGACCTTCTTTACCACATCCCTCATGGACTCTCCCACGAGGTCATGACCTTTCAGCTTCTCCACCTTCCTTACCCTGCCGATGGACAGGACGACCTTCTGTCGTCCCCCAGGTTGTACATCTTTAGCCAGGAACAGCTCAGATGGCTTTGGGAGGAAGATCTTGTGACTTTGTGGTTTCTTCCCTCCCCTGTACAGGTTTTCAAAGTGATCAAAGATCCGCCCACCTACAGAGAAAGCTGCCTTTGCCTTATCAACTTTATCAATCATGTCCTTCTCTTTCTCCCAAGATTTCATGGCCTTCCGACCTCCCTTGTAGAAATCTGTATCCTCAGGTATGACGTGGGTGAACATGATGAGGTCTGCCTTGTCCTTGTAGTACGCGTTGTGGATGTTTCTCGCTGCCGTATCTGTGATGTCAGCGTGGCCGACGATGACGTCAACATGTGGTGGTAGGGTCGATATTGGACCATGGCTTTTCTGGTATTCATGTAGTGGTAACGTCGATTTTGGGTAGTGGCTCTTGAAGTCAAAGGTCAGCCAGTTTATGGGTGGCGCTCTCGTGTCCCCTTCTGATCGATAGGGTGTGATCAGCTTCACGCCGTCTCTGTCTGCTGCCTCCTGGTCTTTTGGGGGCACACGCAGGACTGTGCAATACACGGCTGCCTTGCCCTTCGGGGTTTGGCTCACCTGGCAGTTGATGGTAGAAATTCCTCCCTTGGAAGTCCCATACTCGTCGTTGATCAACAAGATTACCGGTAATCTGGGGCCTGTAGGAAAGCAAAAGCAAACGTGTGCATGAAGTCTGATATGCTGAACCATTGTACAATTAACTTGGAGGCAATTTAATTTGAACTTTGAATCAGGCAATAAAAAAAATCAAACATATGTATCATGACTATCCGTCAGCCGGTTCTTGAGTTATCCTCCCTCGAAGATTTTTAAACAAACTGCCCTGCAGTTCCAGAACAAGCTGATATAGGACCTTCTTTCCCGAACACAAGAGCTATCTACCAACTAAAAATAATGACTCTAGCATGTCTAGATCATGAGATTTCAAAATCGGAAGTTCTGCTGCAGTACCTTGGAAAGCCACCGGGGGGCCCAAAATCTAATCATTTTTAGGTCTCATGAAGACCTACCCACCTAGTAAGTTTCATGACAATCCATCTTAAGCTTCTTGAGTTATCGTGCTAAGCCACATACGCACACACATACAAACGCTGCTGGAAACATAACCTTCCCTGTGAAGGTAAATTAAACATGCACATTTTATAGCATAGGCTGATACACATGTTTGCTACATTTTGAGTACACGGCTTAGCCCAAAACAAATTGGCCTCCGACTAACCTCCGGACGTCTCAGCAACTTCATCTTTTCCACCTTCCTTCTCTAGTGGGCTTCCGGGCACATCGTCGTCCTGGGGTCTTTTAGGTTGAGGGGAACGTACTGTAATGAAACAAAAAAATACATAAGAAGTTATGTCCATTTGCTGTTGCTACTTACAATTTCTTGTAGAGACGGTTTCACTCGAGTCGGGGATGGTCTCTTGTGACATGACAATACAAAGTGTGCACTAGGCAGCAAGTATGCTGATAGCGTGCACACCCAACACATACCTGTACATATGACGTAAAAAACAACAACAATAAATAGTTAAAGCAAGATTATACACAAGTATACAAGTCGTGACGGGTGACGGACAGAAAATGTCAGTCATTGGTGTAAAGTCTTTCTGACGTATCATGTGATTTGATGAAACATTTACATAAATTGTAATTGTAAATCTGAGATTTTATACCTCCGGGCTTTTATTGTATATTTTTATATGTTTGTTATGTGTAGCTGATGGTGTTAAATTTAGCGTTACAGGTTGTGTAAACAGTGATCAACATTTTCATCTGCAGCTTAAAACATGTACACACGAACTTATGAAATTCTATTTAATCTGCCACAGAGACTCGTAAAAACTCAGAATGACAACCAGAACGTAAAACAGACGTAAACAAGAGTTCCGAGATCTCATACCTCCATGAAATATGGGCTTGACATGTAAATGTAAATTTCTTCTTTAATTATGTAAATTACCTCCACATTAACATAATAAATGCATCGTGATGTTAACTTTTGATTAACTTACACATGTACCAAATATGAAATTCCCATCATTTACCACTAAGGAGTCATAGAATTTTCGCATTAATTATGCTAATTAGGTCATCATTTGCAAAATTGGTATCTGTTGATGTTCCATCTGCCATAGATTACATACATTACATGTATGAAAGTACTATAATGTAAAACAATGTAATTATAGAATTTCCTCATTAATTATGCAAATTAAGTCATCATTTGCATAATTTGTACTTAATTATGTACATCTCTCTCTCAGCTACCTACCTACCAAAAATGATGATAATACCTTGTTCCTATCTGGACTTATTGGCTTCTAAAGATTTCCCCCGAAAATCTCTGCAGTTCCAAAACAAGCTGCTAGGAGGACCAAACTCACGCCACTTATTCCTGACAGAAAAAGCTATCTGTCACCAAAAAGTCAAGACCATAGCATGTTTAGAACAAAAGATACTAAAACCGGAAGTTCTGCTGCAGTACCAAGGTCATCCACCAGGAGGCCCATATTTGACCTTGACCTTTGTCTTCCTAAGACTTACCAGCTTACCAAATATCATCGCAATCCATAAAGGCGTTATGGAGTTATGCTGACTACAAATGTGCGGAAACACAAACACACAGACACACACACATACAGACACACACACTGACAGACACGCCTCCATGAAATATATGAGTTTTTGTATACAGTACACTAAGTGTTTCAAACACACAGCTAATCAGGCCTGCAGCTAATACAAACCCTAACCCTGAAATAGGTCACCTATTCCCCTGAGGGAACCCCATTAATCAAACCGGGTCCCAAGCGCACTGACTCGATAGCCACACAATGACACATCTGTTGGTTGCAAAGGAGATTCCGGAAGTGCTACTGCAGTACCAAGGCCATCCACCAGGAGGCCCATATTTGACCTTGACCTTCGCCCCCCTAACACCTACCAGCATACCAAATATCACCACAATCCATGAAGGCGTTATGAACTTATGAAGCGGAAACACAAACACACATACACACACACACACACACACACAGACGCGCCAAAAACAATACCTTCCATTTCATGGAGGTAATAATCATACACAGTATAATACAGAAGTTCACCACTGCCGGCGCCCAGTTGAATCTAATCTCCAACATCTGGAACAAATAACCTCTGACCCTGTCCCACGTCTACGATCTGACTAAAACCTATTTTCTTATCGGAACCTGGCACCCCTCTGTGAGACGCCCGATAAAAATGGAATCATCCGACAACTACACTGTGCAAGCCAAGCCTGCACGACCGTTTTCGGGGGTGTCAGGGGCCGACAAAAGGTTTCATTTCCATACAAGCATATGCAATAAAAACAAAAGGACGTGCATCATCTGCAGCCTAATAGCAAAACGTATACCGAGTCCCCAAACAATCCGACCACCCAACCGAGAGAAATAGCTGCGAACATGAAAACTGCAACCACTTAAAGAACCTTTCTGCTGAGGAATATCTCCTTCCCCCGAGGTAAATATTATCATGTGATTACTTATTAGGAAGTAACAAGATCAATATGAAAGACTGTAAACATACCGGATAATCTGGCTGGTCTGTACACCAGGTCTGCTGACGTCGATGCAAAGTCGACCTCCTCACACCAGACTTCAGGTTGGTCCTCTGCAGTCCGGTCCCTCAGTTCGTGCTGGTGCGGCCTGTCCAGTCCTGCCTTGATGCAGTGCGCACAGGTGACATGGAGGGAGTACATCACACCTGGCCACTCCTGCAGCAGCTGTTCCAGAACGTTCAGCAGTGGGTAGACCACGCCCCACATCTCATCTGCCTGGGCAAGTCTGCCTCTGGTTGCCATGGTGATGTACATATCGCGTTCAACAGGTTTGGAACACACTAGTACGGAGTAGTCTCGCCTGTAGGCCATGACTCCATCTTTCCAGTCTACCCTCAGGCTGTCCTTGATCCGTTGATGGATCCTAACACTGAACCTCTGAAACAATCCCCGGGGACAGAATCCTCTGATGTTGCACATCAGCTGCAGCTGTTCCTGATCTTCTGGTACGTCATCTGGCCAGACGCTCTTCAAATTCTGAGGCTTTTCTTCTTGCAAGTACCAAGGTATTCTGTACCAATAAGTGTGCTTGAAAGGGTCTGTTTTGTCTTGTATAATGATCTCAAAACATAAGCCGAAATGCTGCATCAGTGCAGTAACAATGTCAGAATTGATGTCAGATGGCAACAAACATGTCATTACGTCCTTCCGGATCAGTCCACGCTTCTGAAGTTCCCTTTGAAAACCCTCAAGCTGTGTGCCAGTATAATCACCATTCGTTAGTCCGGGTGTTTTGAAAAGTTGCTCGACATTGTGATGGAACAGATCCTTGAAGATTTCAATCAAGGCGGGAGGATCATGGAAGACGTAGTCCTTGAGTTCCGGTATGCCCGTGTACCTGAGGATGGTTCCCACCTGCTGCAGGTAAGACAGGACTGGCTCCAGTCTGTCCGCCGTCAGACCTGCAAGCTGCCCTTGCTGCAAACAGTCGGTTCGCGTCAACCACGTTGGTTTCTTGTCATTTTGAAGCAACAGAGCTGACGCGTCTCTGTCAGCTAACCAGTAATCGTTTTCTAATAACCAGTAATCGTTTAAGCCATAGTTGTAAGGCGGCACGTCATCGTTGCCAGGTGGCACGTCATCGTTGCCAAGCGGCACGTCATCGTTGCCAGGTGGCACGTCATCGTTGCCAGGTGGCACGTCATCGTTGCCAGGTGGCACGTCATCGTTGCCAGTCGGCACCTCATCGTTGCCAGGCGGCACGTCATCGTTGCCAGGTGGCACGTCATCGTTGCCAGGCGGCACGTCATCGTTGCCAGGTGGCACGTCATCGTTGCCAGGCGACACGTCATCGTTGTTAGGCGGCACATTATCGTTGTCAGGCGGCACGTCATCGTTGTCAGGCGGCATGTCATCGTTACCAGGTGGCACGTCATCGTTGCCAGGCGGCACGTCATCGTTGCCATGCGGCACGTCATCGTTGCCAGGCGGCACGTCATCGTTGCCAGGTGGCACGTCATCGTTGCCAGGCGGCACGTCATCGTTATGGCGTAGATGGTGCATCGGTTTCTTGTCACTTTGAAGATGCGGAGTGGAAGAATTGTCCTCAGTTGACAAGTTATCGTCGTCACCTCTAATGATTTCCCGTTTCGCTGTTTCCACTTTACGTAGCTCCAGCATCTTCTGTTCAAACTCCACCCATGTTCGTGGGAGGATCTTTTTAAGCGTAGGAAACAGACCAGTGTCACTCGCTGATTCAAGTATGTGATTCCTTAGCGTGTCCAACCCAGATGTTGGTTCTGCCGAACTCAAGCAGTACGTTCCGATCAGTCGCATTTGGTTACTCAGGAGGCTTCGTGCGCGTTCTAACTTCCGCTCTATTTCCCATTTTTCCTCCTTGCTTTTGGCCTCCCTTGTGTTGAGTTTCTTTATTTGGCGCTCTGTATTACTTTTACATGTGTCAATCTGCTGCTGAAACCTTTCTTCGATATCCTTAATTTTCTTACTCATTTCTGCCTCACTGCACATGTCCATCTTGCTACCCACTATTGTAACCACCGCCCCCGGCACGCGGGCAGTCAGTGTGTCCAACCAGAACCCCACGGCTTTTCTGTATCTCTCTTCACTGCAGCTGTATGTCTGTAGGTTCACTAATAACAGGTAAAACGCATCTGGAGTCAGAAAAAACTGATGAGTGAGATGGTACACGTCATGGCCGCCAAAGTCATATACTTCAAACGTGATGTTGTCATCAGGTGTCCACTGAGTTATCTCTACACAGTGTGTGCGGTCCTCTACTTCTGTCAGGGTGGATTTGCCACTGTCTAGCGTCCGTATCAGGCTTGTTTTTCCCGCCATTTTCTCTCCCAAGATGACAACTTTCAAATGAGCACTTGTCTTTTCTTCCGAACGTCCAAGTTCCTCAAAGTACTGTTTGATAGCAGCGATCCCCTGACGGCAAACTTCATATGGTGGTTTTATTAGTGGGTTTCCCCTAACGTCAAGGTCACGTAAGCTACTGAGCTGTGCAACCTCCGCGGGTAACGTCTGTAGTTGGTTTCGGCTCAGGTCTAGCTCTTCTAACTGTGTCAGTCCCCCCACTTCAGGTGGGAGTGTGCGCAGCTCGCACCGGGACAGATCCAAGTGTTTGATATTAACGAGCTGTCCGATTTCCGCGGGTAACGTCTGTAGTTTGTTAAGGCTCAGGTCCAGCCATTCTAACTGTGTCAGTCCCCACACTTCAGGTGGGAGTGTGCTCAGCTCGCACCCGGACAGAAGCAAGTGTTTAACGTTAGCGAGCTGTCCGATTTCCGCAGGTAACGACTGTAGTTGGTTTCGGCTCAGGTTCAGCCATTCTAACTGTGCCAGTCTGCCCACTTCGGGTGGGAGTGTGCGCAGCTCGCACCCGGACAGAACCAAGCATTTGACGCTGGTGAGCTGTCCGATTTCCGCGGGTAACGTCTGTAGTTGGTTCTCGCTCAGGTCCAGCCATTCTAACAGTGTCAGTTTCCCAACTTCGGGTGGGAGTGTGTGTAGCTTCCACATGGACAGATCTAAGCGTTTGACGTTAGTGAGCTGGTCCAATTTCCGCGGGTAACGTCTGTAGTTGGTTTCGGCTCAGGTCTAGCTCTTCTAACTGTGCCAGTCTGCCCACTTCGGGTGGGAGTGTGCGCAGCTCGCAGCGGGACAGATCCAAGCGTTTGATGTTAGTGAGCTGTCCGATTTCCGCGGGTAACGTCTGTAGTTGGTTACGGCTCAGGTTCAGCCATTCTAACTGTGTCAGTCTCCCCACTTCAGGTGGGATTGTGCGCAGCTTGCAGTTGGACAGATCCAAGTGTTTGACATTAGTGATCTGTCCGATTTCCGCGGTTAACGTCTGTAGTTCGTTAACGCTCAGGTCCAGCCATTCTAACTGTGTCAGTCTCCCCACGTCAGGTGGGAATGTTCGCAGCTCGCACCAGGACAGATCCAAGTGTTTGACGTTAGCGAGCTGTCCAATTTCCGCGGGTAACGTCTGTAGTTTGTTATGACTCAGGTTCAGCCATTCTAACTGTGTCAGTCTCCCCACTTCAGGTGGGAGTGTGCGCAGCTCGCACCAGGAGAGATCCAAGTGTGTGACGTTAGTGAGCTGTCCGATTTCCGCGGGTAACGTCTCCATGCCTGTTCTCTCTAGTACCAGTACCCGGATGTTGGTGAGTCCAGCCAGCCCATCCGGCAGGTGGATCCCTCTGTTCCCGCCGAGATCAAGTTCCTCCAGCTGGGGGAGTTTCAGTACTGCCAGGGGAACTGTCTCCATGTCTGTGTCCCGTAGTTTCAGTACCAGGAGGTTGGTGAGTCCGGTCAGCCCATCCGGCAGGTGGATCCCGCTGTTCCCGCTGAGATCCAGTTCCTCCAACTGGGGGAGTTTTAGTACTGCCGGGGGAACGGTGTCCAGGTGACGGTAACATAGTCTCAACACTTTCAACTTGTTCAATCTACACAACTCATCTGGTAGGGAGAATTGGAATACTTGTATTGAATTCCAGTCCGCACTTATATCCAGCACCTGTAGGTTTGTTAGTTTCAGCACTACAGGCGGTAGGGTGTGCAGGTTACAGCTGTCTAAGTGCAGGACCGTGAGGTTGGTGAGACCAGACATGTCATCCGGCAGGGTGATGCCCCCGTTGTTACTGAGGATCAGCATTTCTAACTGCGGAAGTTTCATCACGGCAGCGGGGACTCTGGTAAGGTTACATCCGCGTAAGCTCAGCACTTTTAGATTGGTGAGTTTGATCAGCTGATTGGAGAGATCAATGTTCTTGTTGTTCGTCAAATCCAAAGCCTCCAATTCCTTAAGCTCAAAAACTTCCTCAGGTAGTTGAGCCAGAGGTTTGATATCACTATCCTCTTCACGAGACAAGTCCAGTGTCTTGAGAGTTCTTTTCCCCATCATGTCCCATTCTTTTAGATTCACCATGTTTTCAAACCTGAAAGTTTTCAAGATCCACATTTAAATGAATAACGTCAGTTGATCGTATTTACTTACCAATGACAGTCTTATCACAAAAAAGGCTATCCTAGCACTTCCTCATGAATTATACAAATTAGGTTTTGATTTGAATAATCTAATTTTAACGATTTTCACCTTTACTTCAAGAGCCTATGACACTTACAGTATTTGGAAAAAGACATTGAAATATTAAAAATGTTGCTACACCACAGTATCTTGAAATTTAGTTTATTATATGATTAACCCGATAACTGATAGATAAAATCTACTGGACCAATGGACCTATACCATTATTACGTCACAGTTTGTTTATCTGTACTAAAGATCATTCTAGAACTATCAGTTAAAGAATAAAGATCATTTCAAAGTTTTCAAAGTAAGGTATGTCTGATTCTTGCTGGGTCTAGTTGTATGCCGCATGGGTGATTTAGTTGTGACATAAGACGAAAGTAGTACTGTAAAAAGCCTTATATTAGGCTAACGCTACACAAACACACACCGCGATACGCACCCCTGTACAATATAAACGTCGATTGGTGAGGTGAGGTCATAGGTCAGTGGTCGTCTGACATGTTTTGTGTGAGCTCCCCAGAACTTGCGTTCTGGTAGCTCTCGAGCGGTGAAAACCGTTCCTTTTCTAGTTGTAGTGATTTCTAAGTGTTTACTGACTGTCGTTGCATCCTTGAAAGTACCTGTCTTCATTCCTGAGGGAACTTTGTGGCCTTCTTTTTGAGACCAGTGGGAGGGCTCGAACTGGGAAAGATGGCGGCACGTGACGACATTTCAAGGCTCCAAGACACCAGTCTCTGGATCAAATTCGACGCAGTTGGTATGCCAAAGTTGTCTGAATTTGATATAGTCGAAGCACTGTACAATACAGTACGTAACGAGCTGACTGAAGCTATAAAACCTGAAGAAATTCTAGGTGCACAGTACCTTAGCCAAAAGCGCACCTGGGTCATTAACTTTGCGTGCCTTGATGCAAAGGCTAAAGCGATCAGCGTTGGTCGCGTTGTTGTTGGCACCAGGTCGTATGGAATTTTAGATTTCCAAAAAACCGGATTAAGAAAAGCTGAAATCAGGATATCAATTCATGGAATCCCACATAGCGTAACTGATGAGGAAGTCGCTCAGTGGGTGGACTCTAGAGCTGAAAGGACAACGGAAGTCATGAGACACCAAAAGAAGAATAGGAATGCTGACTCCCTCTTTCAGCACCTGTACTCGGGCCACCGGTTCTGCTATGTGTCGAAGATCACCAACCCGTTTCAGCGGTACACCACCTACAGCATTCCTGACCCTACAGATACAGAATCACTAATTGACATAGAAGTGACAGTTTTCCATGATGATCAACATATTAACTGCAAATCATGCAAGGCGGATGATCATGCATTCCACGAATGCCCCCATCGTGTCACCTGCCATAATTGCGGGAAGAAAGGTCACACAAAAAAGTGGTGCCGAGCTGAAAAAAAGACGATACCACATGAAAACGTGAAGGATATCGAAGTCGAACAAATAGTGCAGAAAGGTCTCAAAGCTGCTCGGGATGCGTCCAACCCTCGCCCAACTAGCACTGTCCTCCTGACCGTTAACGACAGCGACAGTGCCGGAGAGGAACAAGACTGGGCCTCTTGTGATCCCGATGATGCGGTAGAAAGTGGGGACGTAGACGGAGAAAACACTCAGTGTGAGACAGGAACAGCAGTTAAAACCCCACAACACGTAGAACCCTCTGACAGAAACCAACAGAGGAGACACAAGAAGTCAACACTCACACCGTCACCGGCACCGAGAACACGGGAGATCGTGGTCAACGGCGTTCACCTGTATCAACACGGGCAACGAGGAAGAGAAAGAACGTTCTTACCCCACCCGACAAGACAAAACCGGACAAACTTCACAAGGATGACGGGAGAAAAAAAGACAATGGATAATAGGACTAGTTTCTTTCGACCCCTATGGTTCGACTACTTACCATCAATACTCGAGGCTTAAGGAGACGAATGGTACGACGAACTGTTTTTCAATATATTAAGTCTAAAAAGATTGATATTGTATGTATGCAAGAAACTTATATTACTAATGAAGATATTGAATTATGGTCAAAAGAGTGGGGAGGAAAGCTCTTTGCACATCCCAGCACATGTCACAGCAAGGGGCAAGTTATTTTGATATCAAAAAATCTCGATTGTAAAAATCTAGAGTTTATTGACATTTCGGAACGTATTATCGGCGTACGATTTATGCACCAAAATGGAAAATTTGTCTGTTTTAATGTTTAAGCGCCCAATGCTGTGGCAAGTAAAAACTGTTTTTTGTGCATGAGTTCAAGAAAATAGAAAAATATTGTCAAGATCAGGAACATGTGATAGTTGCTGGGGACTTTAACACGGTTCTAAACAGCGACCTTGATAATATCGCAGGCAAGGAGCATGATAAAACAGAAATTTTAATTTTCTTAAAAGATTTTGAATAAGACTTTGAATGAACTTTATTTTGTAGATATCTGGAGAACGTTTCACGATACTGAAAAAGAATTTACATGGTCAAAAAGAAAGCCCTTTGTAGCAAGGAGATTAGACTACATTTTTGTCAACGATATAACGTTTGACAAAAGTATCTCCTGTGACATTTGCTCCTTTCCATGCAGCGACCATAAGGCTGTAATGATGGACATGTCATTTACCCAGTGCAAAAAAGGAACTTCGTACTGGAAATGTAATAATTCTTTTCTAACAGACGTAACATATGTAAACAAAGTAAATGAGATCATTGATAATGTCAGCGATGGTCTCACAGACTCCATCTTAGCTGATAAACAGCTGATATGGGACTATTGTAAGAATAAAATTAAAAAATTTTTCTATTGACTATGAAAAAAGCATATGAAATGCGAGTAAAGAATTTTTCTGTTGAACAAACTTTAAATAAGTTAGAGAAACAGTTGTCCTCCGATCCAAACAATGAATCCTTACAAAAACAAGTAGAAAAGCAAAAAGCTGACTTTGAAAATCTGTCTCTCCATAAAGCACGTGGTGCCCAAATTCGTTCAAAAACTGAGTGGATTGAACAAGGTGAAAGAAACACAGCTTTTTTTCTACAACTGGAAAAGATAAGGGGTGCTCGTAACGTGATTACTAGCATCAAAGCTCCAGATGGGTCAATTATAACTGATCAGGATGAAATCATACAGCAGCAAGTTGATTACTACACAGATGTTTACAGTGAAAAGAAAACATTTGATGTAGATGCATATGAGAATTTTGTAAGTGATTTAAACTTTCCTACGCTAACGCAGGAACAGCGTAATTCTTGCGAAGGAATGTTTACACTCTCAGAATGTGCAGTTGCACTTCAAACAATGAAGACTTGTTCTCCTGGTTTGGATGGTCTGACAACTGATTTTTATAAATTCTTTTGGATTAAGATCAAACATATGGTTCTGGACTCACTTAATCAAGGTTTTTTGAAAAATCAACTTTTGTCTACTCAACGCAAAGGTGTAATAACATTGCTGTTTAAAGGAAACGAGCATAATGACCTTAGTAGAGATCAGTTGTCAAACTGGAGGCCAATTTCCATAACAAATACTGACTATAAAATAGGTGCAAAAGTATCGTATTTATCATGCCCGGCCATGGACCTCCGGTATGAAGTTATGCGGAAATAGTCGTCTGAAGCCAAAAGTTGACTATGCGCTGAGGCGACCGCCCTAAGCGGGCGCCCATTCCCACCCCAAGCAAACCCCGTCGTGGGTTGGGTGGGTGGGCCGCTTTCGGCTCCAGACGCGGCCGGAGGCCCCTGGCCTGACCCGGAAGAATGACGTCATGCTGGTATTGCATTGTGGGTGATGACGTCATACCTTCCGGCCCAATAGCCGAGCATGACAAATAGTATCGTATTTATCATGCTCGGCCATGGACCTCCGGTATGAAGTTATGCGGAAATAGTCATCTTCCACCTTCACCCTTCTCTGGCTGTTGATCCCTTCCTTCTTCTGCTACCAGTCTTCCCAATCCTGACACACTTTCCTCACCCCTTCCTCATTCTTCCTCTCTCATCTTTCCAATCCTGATACCCTTTCCGTGCACACTCTTTGTTCCCCCCTTCCTCATTCTTCCTCAGTCGTCTTTCCTCTCTCACTCAGTCCCTTATGAGATTCCTCTCATAACCTCACTCTGCGGTACGATCGCTCTCATCCCACTTTCTTTGACTCCGATTTCCTACCCCCAATCTCATACTGCCTTGAAACTCCGGCATCCCGCCTAGTCTCCTAACATCACATTGAATCATCTTACCCCACTCTGATCTTACTCCGGCTTCCTACTATCACTCTAGCATAAAAACTACCCAAGAGAAAATCTCCCCGTCTGCGTGGTGTCCCGTCCGGGGAATTTGCAGATTATTGACCTTGAACTTGAACACTGTCTCCCGCAACCACAACGTCTTACAGTAACTTCAGCCCTCTACTCGGCTTACATGCGGCCTCTCGCATGCGGCCTCGCCGCCTACCCGTTTCCTCGGCCTTCTGAATTACTGGCACGCGGCCTCCCGCCGCACTATGAACCTTACGACCTTCTCGATACTGGGCCGCGGCCACTCCACCGCCTTACAGTTCCTCCAGCCCACTTTCCTCTCTCTCTTATATTTTCTTTTTAACTGGCACGCGGCCTCTCGTCATCCGCCTCACAGCCTTCTCTGTTACCGGCACGCGGCCTCCAGCCGCCTTACAGCCTTCTGTGCTCCTGGCACGCGGTCTCTAGTCAGCCGCCGTACAGCCTTCTGAGTCACCGGCACTTATAGCCTTCTGTGTTACCGGCCCGCGGCCTCCAGCCGCCTTATAGCCTTCTGTGTTACCGGCACGCGGGCCCTCGCCGGCCGCCTTACAGCCTTCTGTGTTGCTAGCACGCGGCTTCTCACCCGCCGCCTTACAGCCTTCTGTGTCACCGGCACGCGGCATC